TAACATTTTTAAAATCAAGCACTGGCCTTAGAAATGTACCCTTTAAGAGGAAGTTTTTAGTAAATTCTCTAGGTAGAATTTACAGTACACATTTACCCCATTCAGGCAGGAAAATAATGTTTGTGCGAAATACATTTTTTTTATTATTCATATTAAGACATTGGGGCAACGATTGAAAATTAGAGCAAATTATGTCCATGCAACTAACTCTCCAACCACAGAAAAATGTTAATAAACCTATAAATAGCTGAAGAAATTGCCATTACATGTACACTAGTTAAATCTCATGAGGTCACTTCGGCAACAAAATTATCATAACAGGTTTTGCTTCCTTAGTTTTTACTTTGGTCCTAATGCTTTCGAGTGAAATCTCTCTCACTGAACATCTTTGAAAGTCACATTGAATACAGTCAGCAACAGGGCAGCATGCATTTTCATTTGGCAACATCAACAAAAGGTCAAGGGGACTTTCTTCTCTGGAGATTAGATTGCTGGACACTTTACGACCAGTCATCACAAATATTGAACTACCACATTGAAATAATAAAGTACTTCATTCTCCAATGCTTAGCTACGACTCTACTGACAAAATTCCACTTAAAATTCTGGTAAATGTTAAATCATCTTTGTAACTTGTATCAGTCATTGAAATAAGGTCATAACTGGACTTTGTAACTTCAAAGCAGGAATTGAAGGAAATTATAGCAGGTGTAAAACATAGAACAGCATTTCCACCCACCAAATTCTCCGTTTATTATTTACTGTGTACTAAAATACAGTTATTAAACCATTTACAAGTAAAAAATATAAAGGACAAAAACAAAATGACAGATATACCTAAATAAGAAGGCAAATTAGCCTAAATTTAAATACATTAGTTGTTTTTTATTTTGTGATGTTTCAAAACACACAAAAGAATCCTAAACATATACTAGTACGAACTTGACTGAATACATTATTTCAGTTTAAAAGACTCCAAAAATGTTAAAGTTTATTGTATTTGATAATTGAAATTTTGTGAATTCTCAATGATATTGCAGGCAGTGAAGACTTTTTGTAGCCAATGCTTAATAATAATAATATATATATTTAATCTTAATTTTATCACAAAATTTGATTTTACAACTGTCATATTCTAGTCGCAGCAGGATCATCAGCATTACACTTCATTTAGTTGCTGCTACTACTATATTACAGTAAACAAAATCAAACAATGCAATTTAACAACGCAACATTGGACATCTGCCTGGTGCCTCTACAGATAATGTGACATACAGCTCCTAAATGCAAAGAGCAAACATTTTGTTTATCCAAGAATATGTTCTAATGATCTAAACATCATAATAAACTCTTAAGTACTTGTACTATGATTTAAATTACTAACAGAAAGATGATAAACGCCACTTAGTCCAAATCTGCTCAACAGTAATCACATTACTTTAGCAAACCCTTGGCCTTGAACACGTCCCTCATTAGCCCTTTCAGGTACTTAATCTCTCTGGAAAGATCATTCACTTTTGTCTGCAACTCTTCATTTGCATCCGCCAACTGCTTCTCTTCACTCAAAATTTCTTCCACTTCAGCCTTCTTCTTCTGGCGATAACGGGTGGCAGCATTTTTGTTCTGTTCTTTCTTGCGCAGCTTCTTTTCTTCAGTGCCAACGCGAGCGTATGGCTTAGCTGCACGCTTTCTGCCGCCAGTTACCTTTTCACAACCATGGGATGACACTCCATGGACTGACACAGGCACCCAGTCAGGGTCGTCAGTAAAGTCTTCAGCACTTTCAAAGCTGCTGATTGAAGTGGTGCTGGGACTTGGAGGCGTTACTTCCAAAGTGGTCCCAACATTTTCGTGAAATGAAGAGGGGCTGCTGGCTTCTTCAACTTCTGGTGGAATACTCGCAGGTCTCTGTGGGACAGGGATGCTAGTTTCAAGATCTTCAACACGTGTACGAATGAGTTCATCAACCGCAGCAAGTTCTTCGTAAAGATCAGGAGCAGGAGATGGTACTATTTGCTCCAAATTCGGGAGGATGTTTTCCCTCTTTTCCACGTAGGACACTGGAGATGGAAGAATGGGTGCTACTGTTGTAAGAGGAGGCACAGAAGCAAACTGATACGAGTTGTCTGGAACAGTTTGCACAGGGATCATCTGCTGCAGAGTGGTAATGAAAAGAGGTGTGCCATTAGGATCTTGCGAGAAAACTCCAGAGTACTGAGGTTGAGGAGGAGAAGTAACTTGAATAGGCAAAGGAGGTTGAGTAGGGCTTTGAGGTGGAGTAGCAAAATTATGTTCCACTTCTCCAAACACTGATTCAAATTCTTGAAGAAGGGTTTGAGTGTCACCAGGCACCACATACTGCGGAGGGGATGGCAAAGCTGGCAGAGGGGTCTTCAGTTCCAAAACAGTTTGTGGTTTCACAGCCTCGATGTTTCCTCGCACTTGTTGGCTGTATGCACGAGGCTCCTGTACCGGTGCAGGAATGTCCAGGAGCGGCAGATCGATCTTCTCCTCCAACCAAACTGCGAAAGGCTCTGCAACATTGCAAAAGACATTTAGAAACTTAGTACAATTGACGACTTCAGCTACATTAACTATACACTGCCCAACACTATTGATAACTATTGTCATGTCCTATAAGTATGAAAACTATTATGATAGGTACTCTCAAAACACTTGTAACAGCTTAATTTGCCAATACTTTGACAGTAACTTTAATTAGCCAAATTCATCTGAACACTTCCTTAATCACTCACACAGCACTTATCTATTACTTTTTTCCCTTTCTATTTTTTCATTAGGACATGAACACAATTTGGAACCAACACACACTTTTCACAAGTCTTGCATTCTGCACCAAGAGCACCATCTGGTACTCATTCACAATCAATTTAACAGACATTAAAAACAAAACCTACCGTGATAAACAAGAGCCATCGTCTAAGAAATCTCTAATATAATGAGATCAATGAAACTTGTTGCACAATTCTTCCAGAATCACTAAACAGTCTCTTTTTGTTGCGCTTTGGGGAGAATAAAAGTTCTGCACAGATTTGAAAAATTCACCTTCTATTCACCAACTTTTGAGAATTCACAATAATTTCACGATCCCACAAGTACAGATAGTTGTACTGCATGCTATAGTAGATGAAGCTACACATGAGTCCACAGCCGCATCTAACGGCGCGCGAAAGAATGCATCGGACTGGCGCTAGCTCCTGCTGGCAGGAAGGCTCCACGAGTACTGCCCGGGCGGCGTCGCTCGGCGCGCAAGTGCCGTGCTGGCCTTGTTCCACGCGCCCCGCAAGGACGACGACAGCGACGGCGACGGCGATGGTGGGGGTGGGGACGGCGGCGCCCCTCGCGGGGCCTCGAAGCGACCCGCTCTCCAGATAACGCGCGGCATTACACAACAACCCGTTTCTTCTCCTCCTCCGTCGTCTAGCCTTCCCCTCCCTCCCTCCCTTGCCGGACCGCGAACGGAGAGAAGTGGGGAAACAGCCACGAGGCAAATGGGAAGATCCAGAAGGGAGCGAGAGACACGCACTGACCGCGCGAGAGGTCGAGCGCGCATCGATCGTCTGGAGGCAGCAGTTGATCAAACAATCACATGATGTTGCTTCTGGAGGAAGAGGATACGCAGGGAAAACAGCCTATCGTGTTACTGATTTTTTCCCCCTACGAATTAACGTTATTGCCCCCGCGCACGCCACTCTCTGTTCCCCACACGAAATCGACACATCTGACAAAGGTTTAACGCTGACGAACCTGCAGTGCAGAACATTTGACTTTCTTTACTAGAATACTAGGAGAACTTCTCGAATTAAGCACCAGCCCCGCGACAAGGATTTCATTCGCTTCCAATGTCTACTGCGCGTCAAGTCACCAAAACTACGCATTGAAGTTGTTTTTTCTTCTTTCAAAACAAGGCGCGTTTGGCTAATTTTGAGCCGAGAAAACAGCGCAACAGAAATAGCATAATGCGATTTGGAGGGGATCCTTTCAGCAGGAATGGCCTGTGGACCAGACACCGAGCTGTCGGAGAGACACCAGCCAGACTCGGGCACGCCCACGAGAGGAGCACGTGACAAGTGCATACAAAATGGTGGCCGCCCAGACACACATGGCGGGCGACATGCCCAGGAGGGGGAGCAATGACAACCTACAACGGAGGAGCTCTACAATGGCTACAGCGGCACATACTTTCAGCTCGTATTTTCCCTAAATGTGCAATTTTTGAAAATACAAAGTTTAACAAAAATGAAATCCTTGCCTTTATTTTAAGCTTTCGTAAATTTACACGTGAAGAAAAAATAAGAAAAAAATCTGCTGATTTTGGGAAAGTGTCCGTTTCTTTTTTGTAAACTGCACAAATTACGCAAAAACTAGTTGTTTTTTTTTTAAATTGTGCAGGACCTTTCTTAATGAGTAGATCTAATTTCCATCTTTTTTCAAATCTCTATCTTCAAATTTGTAGTTTTGGAATGTTACCAACCTTTTTACAGTTCACCGATACACTAGAAAATTTGGGGCAGAGAAAATTTTGAAAATGTGAAGGCTTCATATAGAGTACTCTAAAAATCAAAATATCAGTTTCAAACTATTAGGGTCCAGAGTTCATTTAAATCGATCTAGGAACATGAATTTGGGAGAAAATCGTCCGAAAGGGTTTAGGTGCTAGCGACCACTATCAGTCCGACGGACAGGCATTTTGTCGACCATCGAATTTTTCGGAATCAAGAATCTAAAAAATGTAATCTAACTGCACGTGTTGGAGGAAGTAATTTACTAAAATATATATCAACTTTTTAGTTACCAGGGTCCGGAAATAAAGAGTTTTTCTGTCGAAAATTCGCCGTTTTCTGGCGCAGGATTGCTATGCTTTCTCTTCTTACAAAATGACAGAAACTTAAAAACAAAGAATAAAGAGAAATTTCTTGACTTAATAATCGAAACTAAATTTGTAGTTTCTGAAATTATATTCCTGGTGTTTCGTTTTCTCAGGAATTAATCTGTAAACTTACTAGTAAATATAATTATGCTGTCATTTATGAAACAAACCTGTCACGGGTTTCGTTGTTAAAAATTATTAACATCCCTAATTTCTATTAATGCCTCATAAAATAACTTTTTAATGTGTCCCTGTAATCCAAAATCAATTATTTATAGCACTAAAAGAAAGTGTCGCTGTGGAAAACAAATTAGAGATACATTCACTTAAATATGGGAAACAACTCAATGAACTGAGATTTTAAAACAAATTTTAAGAACATAATTCTTATTTACTTCACATTTCAAAAATTTTATTTCTTGGAAGGATAGTTCTAAAAAACTATATTAAGAGACCATAATTCGTCTGTTCATACATTTCTTTAAAAGCATATCCTCATTCAAAATAACAGATTTTTGAGCAAATTCCAAAGAAAGACCCCTAAAATTTCTCCGACAAAAGGAACATGATTTTAATAAGTAGGCAACACTGTTTCATTTTCCCTAAGTTACAGTGTACTTGGACAAATCACTGGCTAATTCAGGAATCACCACTGGTTTATAAACTATTCAATTACAGGTATGAAGAAAATTGTAAGATGTGGTTTGTAATGACAAAAATATCACATGAATTACTCAAAGAATTCTCAAAGTTGCCACTACTCTATTACCATGCTTGCACCTCATCTAAATATTTTTTTATAGCAAAAAGATAAATAAAGATCAGTGTTATAAATTAATGAATCAATAAGTCAAATAAATGAAACTTCGGTAATGATTAAATTGGCTTGTAACATTCAAAAATGTGTATATTGTGTCTATAAAAATTATATATGAACTCTGTAACAAAGCATTTAAGAAGTCAATGCTCTTGTGGTCTGTTACTTTTAGAGCTTGAAAGAATAAATTATCAATTTGAACTGATACGGAGAAAAGACACAAAAGGGAAATGAGAGGCACTTTTCAATTTTCCCTCTTCCTAGTGATACAAATGCGTAATTTGGATATTGTAACGAATACTAAACGTGCTAATAGTGTCATCTCTTCACCCTCCTAGAAAACAGGCTGGGTAAAGAGTCCTCATGCACTCTCCCATGTGAACAGATAGGGAAGCCAAGACATTAAAATGATTGTTCAGGATATTAACAACAATATTTTAATTTAGTTCCGCAACCATCATCTGAGAACTAATATCACAGTATGTTTGAGCCTCATACTTTTTTTGAAAAATATCACAATTTCACTCAATATTACTCAACAACTATTAATATTTTTGTAAAAAATTGAATGTCTAAAGGAGATGTAAAATAGGTTCAACAAATATTTGAACTTTTGTAGTTTCCAAAATCAAGATCTGGATGAAAATTTAAAGTATCATATTCATTAATGCAGTTTCCTGTATTGAAACAAAAAATTTAAAGAAAAAATTTACAGCTATTTTTCAGAGGTTTGCACATGTCACTGGGGCTTAACGTACAGCAGGCAGTTACTTGCCAAGCCCGGGAACCTCAACAGGCAACTTCTCCTGATTCCTCTCTCTTTTCTCCGCCAAATCCAAAAACAGGTGTGCAAGCACTGCCAGTACTCTTAATGTTGACAGCGACACAACGGCAAGGGTAAACATCCAATTACAGACAACAAGTGAATTTCCGACATGGCCTTTTAAAACAGATTTTATGTCACAAGAATAGTTTAAATACGCAATTACAAGGAAGTGATCACTTGATATCTGATTAAAAGAAAACTTGAAGTTAATCTCATGTGTTGTTGCTTAGTTCCCCGAACCCTCGAATGTGTGTGTGATAAATAATTTCAGGGTGTAAGAGTACATACAGATAAAAGCGATTTTTTTCACAAATGAACCTAAACAACACTCCCCTGAGATCACATATGACACACATGAATTTAAAGACGCTCTCATAGAACTGAATAAGTTTTTCTATTAAACAACCAAGAGTTTGCTTTATGTATTTTATTTTCTGTATATTTTTATTATTGAATTCATTGCACAATAACCATTGTGTAGTGTACTATGTTCTTATGGCAAATTATTTTTTATTTCCATTTGGATGAATATTTGATGTCTAGAGAAAAAATGTGCAGTAAATTATTGAAATAACTCTTTAGTTTCTCTGTAGTAAAACCCACCTCAGATATATCATATCACTCTTACTGGCAGACAATAACCTTTTGTTACTAAACTAAGTATAGAAACTATTGTGGAAAAAATTATTGTTAGGGCAATTATTGCACTTTTAAGCATACACAAAGTCAAAATACTTGGACTCAAAATTTTAATTTTATTCTCAATTGAAACATCAAAAAGTTAAAGGATTTATTACAGTACAGAAAATGGTAATTCTAATCACTCAATTTAAAGCAATAGACTTCTCCAAACGAATGGCATGGGCCAGGTATCAAGTGAAGTACCACTAGACCAGTTTGTGTAATCCTTACTTTTAAAATTCAGAGCAGTTGTTCTGGTTGCAGTGGCCGCGAGCTAAGGAAGCTAGTAACCTTGCCTGCAACCTTGACAAGCAGAACAAGCCTTGACAGCTGGTTAAGTATCCACTTTTTTTTTTTTAATACGATCCCCAGAACAGCACAACTAGATCTTGCTCAAGATGTATTTATGAAATGAAGCAAAATGCTTCTACACTGACATACCTATGCTTCTACACTGATTTTTTAGGTACAAAGCTGCATTAAGTACCTCCCTATATCTTAAACATTTTTGGAACAGCATTAACATGCATCGATTCAAAAGTGTCTATGAAGTTCCAGCTCATAAGAACTTTAAATACTTATAAATGTGTGAATATTTAAAAACCCTTAAACAAACTAAAAAGCAAATGGCTTTTAGTTCATGTAAGATTTAATCTATATCTGAAATCTTTGAATTCAATAACATTAATTTTATATTTTGGATGAAAACATTTTGAAGGAAATTATCAAACAGCTGATTAGGAAGTTTTAAATAACTAAATTATAATATTAAATGAACAAAATAAATTTAACAAATGGGCTTTGAATTACATTATTTGTCACTAGCAATGATACATTACTAATTTTCTTAACCTTTTATTTCAAAGCATTTTTTTCACATTGAACATATGTGTAAATCTTTACGAGAGAAGGAGAGAAGGAGAGAGGGAGAGAGAGGGAGAGAGAGGGAGAGAGAGGG